GTAGTATTTTCCCACATTCAGTAAATGTAGTTTCTAATAAGAGCCTGATTTATTCATGGAATCTAAATACAGGTATGGAAATCTATCAGCTAAATGTTACATTATGCTGTCATGCAAAATAAACATGTGGCCCCACCTTTAGTCCAATCTTACGTCCCTTCTGAGGGACAAGTGCTATAAAACTCTGAGTATAGGACTGTGTTTTTCTCATTGAACCTGTGGAGAGCTCGACGCTCCTCACACATCATGGAGAGGATACAGATCATGTCTATAGGAGCGCTGGTATGGACACTGTCTGTTGGACTTGCTGCGACACAAACCAGTAAGACTAATTTACAATACGTGTTTCTAAATACTGACTTTAAGCATTTTATTTAATTTACATTGATTGTAAAATGTATATTCAATCTCTGTAACACTTTACAGTAAGGTTCCATTTGTTAGCTACATGTGTTAACACTGAACTAACAATGAAAAACACTTCTAAAGCATTTATTAAAATGAGTTTAAAATTTACGTATGCTTTATTAAAAATCAAAAGTTGTATCTGTTAATATTATTTAATGGACCTGAGTAACATTAACAAACATTAACAATGAACAATTGTATTTTTACATTAAAAAATATTAATAAATACTGTAACAAATGTTAATGACAGTTATTGCATTTCCTGATGTTAACTAATGAAACCTTATCATTAACTGTTTTTTTTTTTCTGCTAGAATCATTTATCTTTAAATAGTGGAATTTACTAATACAATAATTATATAATTACATGTAATGATAGGATGTTAATAATATTGTGGAAGAATTAGTTAAGAATGTATATAATGCCAGAAATGATTTCAGCGATTAAAAGGGGATCGGATATCTATGAGATCCAGTTTAATTAGTGGAACTGAAAAATTTTGTTTGATTCAAACAACCATTTTATAAATTAATTCTGACTTTTTCTCTAAATCCTCCAGTTTTCACAACAACGAACATGATTCCAACTGCCACAATAGAAATGGTTTCAGGTAAAAATCTACGAATCGTTCAAAAATCCAAATGTTTCCTCATTAGCAACTTTAAAATAAACTAAAAACGATTTGGGTTTTTTTGGACCAGGAGTGAGTTCACAACACAACGAGCAGGTTTGCAGTGTGTGGGGAAACTATCATTACAAGACCTTCGACGGGCACTACTTCCAGCTCCCATCTTCCTGCAACTACATCCTGACGTCACACTGTTCGGCCAGCTATGAGGACTTTAACATCCAGCTGAGACATCAGGTGGTGAACAATGAAGCCACAATCAGCAAAATCACCATGAAGCTGCAGGGGACAGTCATAGAGCTGACCAAAGGCTCTCTCAGTGTTAATGAGCAAATGTAAGTGATTCTGATGATCAAATTAAATATATCTCCAGGCCATACTCATATGACTTAAACTGTGTTGACTTTTGACGTCATTGCTGTCAGCTTTCACTTTGTTTTTTGATGGTGGCGGTTTGGGAGTTATTAATGCAAACATAGTGTCTTTGACTGATCTGTATTGTATAAGGTGACTTGATTTGATTTAATTGTACCATCCTCTCTGTAGAGTCACACTTCCATTTAGCAGCTCTGGCGTTTTCATCGAGAAGATGACGTCTTATATTTCAGTCAAGGCTGTTTTGGGCCTTGTAGCAATGTGGAATGAAGATGATTCGTTCATGGTAAGGATCTTTTCTTCATGCAACAAACATTTATCACCAATACCTGCAAGAAGGGAACCAATGCAGGACTAATATAACAAATATTTGATTGGTTTTCAGGTCAAGTTAGATGACAAATACAAAAACCAAACGTGTGGACTTTGTGGAGACTTCAACGGAATCTTGGTTTTCAATGAATTCATCAGTGACGGTACATTTATTTGAATTTATTTGACTATGGGGAAATATATTTGCAACCTTCTTGGATGTTTTACGTTATTATACACAGACAATAAAGAATCGTTAATCTCCTGTTCTAGGAATTACGCAGTCCGTGTCTGATTATGGGAACCTCTGGAAGATGGATGGTCCAATGGAAGTCTGTAAGGAAGACACAGTAGCTCTTGAAGAAAACTGTGGAGATGAGGTAAGAAATGAAATTGTACTTATTCTCTGTCTACACAGAAATGACAAGCAATTAAGTCACTTCATGTGTACAAACTAGGGTAATAATAATCAAGCATTTATGGTAAAATTCCAATGGTTTCAGTTAAAAAGTCAATTATGGGCGACCAAGGAAATTGGGAGTGGGTGGCGAATTTAGGTTTAGCACGTGTATTGTGGCAGTGTTAAAAAATCATGAACATAAGCACAAAAGTAGTCACTTAGCAGAGACTTTTATGCATAGAGACCCCACACTTATTGCTTTGCTTAAAGATAAAAATTATGTTGGTTCATACTCGTTGTCCCTTTTGTCCCAAACTACACATTTTACCCACCATTTATCAAATAAGATTAATACTTCTGAAAATAAATAAATAAATAAATAAAGCATTTTAGCATAAGGTGGCAACATAACAAAATGTAAAAACTATGCGATGTTATTGTGCATTTTTTTGGGCCCCATACAGCTTGAGTTAATATTATGAATCACATATTATATGTAGGATATCCAGGGTTCAAGTCACAGGTAGATATATTAGTGTTTAGTAAATCAATTTACATTAAAAAAAAAATGCATTTGAATGTGAATGGGTTTATATCAGATGCAGGGAGCCTTTGGAATTATCATTATTAGTGGTTTCATCATTTGTAGCTTTAGCAGTAATTATTTTACTGGTTTGTTGGTTATAATTTTATGTGACTCCATATAACTTCTCACTCCCCACAGAATTTCTGCCATGATATCTTCTCCAGTTCAGTGTTCAGTGATTGCAGAGGTCGGGTGTCCATTGATGCATTTGTCCAAGTTTGCATGAAAGACCTGTGCCATTGCAACGGCACCTCTGGATCCTTCTGTCTATGCAAATCCATCGGTGAATATTCAAGGCAGTGTGTGCATGCAGGGGGAAAGCCTGAAGAATGGAGATCTGAATATTTTTGCCGTAAGTATGCCGTCTTCTTTAAGTGCATCAATGTTTGTCTTACCGTTAGACTATCTAGATCAAGGCCTATGGTTGCTAACTTGCTATAGTCTCTTCTTGTAGTTTTGTATTCTTTTTTTTTAATTGATGCTCTCTGAATAGTATGTCCTCTTCTTCTGTATGTTGCAGCACATCCGTGCCCAGAAAGTATGGTCCACCAAGAGTGTGGAAATCCATGCACTGACACCTGCACAAACCCTGAAATAGGACAAGTGTGTGAGCACCACTGCATTGATGGATGCTTCTGCCCTCCTGGTACAGTGTTTTACCATGGTTTTCTTTATCTAAAGTAACTGGCTACATTGATTTCACTTTTCACTGATTTCTTTTAACTTTAATCTGATACTATTTTCGTTTAACCCTTTTATAGTGGTCTTCAGTCATTTTAGAATGATAAAATGTGGTCTTCGGTCATTCAGTTATTTTAGAATAAAAATTGTAAAAATTTGAATTTTTAAAATGTTCACTTTCTCAATGTTACCCAACTTGATGACTTTTGTGGCACTTGCTTCATGAACACACACACACACACACACACACACACATGTCTGGTCAGCTATCCTTGTGGGGACTCTCCATAGGCGTAATGGTTTTTCTACTGTACAGACCGTATATTCTATTGCCCTACACCAACCCTACCCCTAAACCTACCCCTCACAGGAAACTTTCTGCATTTTTAGATTTTCAAAAATCTTCATTCTGTATGATTTATAAGCTTTTGTACCCGTGGGGACCACAATTTAGGTCCCCACTGTGACACGAGTCCCCATGAGTCTGTGTGTAGTCAGGTTTAAGTCCCCACCAGGATATATAAACCAGTACACACATACACACACACGTTATTAGAATATGATTAGAAAACAATAAATGGTCTTTAAAAATAATCACACGTGATATTTGCAGTCAAAAATGACAATGCAGTACAAAAAATATGAAGATACAGAGCATTTTTAGGAGTACAATCTACAACTCAACCACAGTGAAGTAATCTTTGACAATGTCTAAATATTTATCCAAATACAAAACCAAATAAAAGTAAGTAATTATGCCTGAACATGCTCTTATAAACAAGTAGGGAATAGACAACATTTAGCGGTTATATTGCATTACATATGATTTTCTTATTTCTTCCACCAGATGTCGTCAATCTGCCTTAAATGCATTGGATATTAATTCCTTTGCTATATTCTTAACTTAAACATTACTTAAATTTACAAGCACCATAGGTGCTGTAGCCCCTGTTGTATCTGTTTGTTTTCTCTTTTTCTAACATTTTTATTATTTTATATAGACATAAATGCTGCATAATTTTGAGGTGGAAATTGCCTAGTGCCATGAAATCTCAAAATACAAAATATTAAAGAATAAATATTGTGGAAACTAAATAAAGTACATTTATTTCGGCCTGTTTTGACCATTAAGGATCACAAGTCTGACCCCTAAGTGAGGAATACCAGATGGCTAAACAACAATAATTAGCAGATTTCTTACTGGTGTTCTGAACACGTCCATTCTGTCCTGAGCAATAACCCATTTTCCTCGTTCTCTTTCCTCCAGGCACTGTTTTTGATGATATACACAATACTGGCTGTATCCCGCACAGTGAATGCTCCTGCGTCCTTGGAGGTAAAATATTCGCCTCTGGGGAGAATTACACAAGCAGCTGCAGAGACTGGTAAGCCTCTGTCATTTGGCATTCACACTCAATTAACTGAATTTGCTTTTATATTTGGCATAAAAATGATTCATATATTAGACAAGATTTTGTTTTATGTTTTAATATTAAATTCTATTCTATACTGAGAGTTTTGAAAAGTGTATGTTTAAAGTGACATTATTATTTCCCATTTAGCACCTGTGAACAGGGACAGTGGAACTGTATCCAGAAGGACTGCCCACATTCATGCTCAGTAGAGGGTGGATCCCATATTACCTCTTATGATGGAAAAGCCTACACCTTTCATGGAGACTGCACTTACATCCTGTCCAAAGTATGTACTTCCTTGTTCTTGAAGGAAGTTTATAGGCCAACTTTACAAGTCATTACATAGAAGCCATTGCTGCACTAATTAAAAGTAGTAAAATAGTGATAGATTTTTAAAGCATTGTGCTAAACAATGTTAACCTTGTCCATTTTTCTTTCTTTTTCAAAAGCAATGCACAGGCACAGAATTCACAGTTCAAGGAGACCTGGTGAAATGTGGTGTGACTGAAACTGAAACCTGTTTGAAGTCAGTAACGCTGGCATTGTTAGATGGAACTAATGTAAGTACTAAAAAGGACTGAAAAAAAAATGAAACAGTTAATGTTTTCCAAAACAGCCTTTTATCATAACTTGACGAAACTGCTCCTCACTCTTCATGTCACTGCCATTTATATTCAATCTACATGTCTTAAACATTTGCAAACAGAAAACATTCATTGATTTTTTTTTATTCCCTTGCATACAGGTGATTAAAGTGGATTCCAGTGGAAATATTGAGATCAACAGAATAATTGCCCAGATGCCACTTTTTACAGGTAGGCAAATCAACAAATACAAGAAGGGAAATTTTCGAAAGAAATTTTTTAAATTAATAATAATAATAAAACCAGCACTGATAAGCATGCCAGTACTGAATCAGTTTTTGTAATAAAGGGATTTTTGACTTTTTTGTTTTATTTTTACAACCGGTGATTCCACAAAGATATTATACCGTGTGCCACTGGAGAATAACCTATGTATGCATTTTCCTGTAAAATCTGCCCCTTACAGCACTAAAATATACAGTAAATAACTATTATTACAGTTTTATCAAAATGTATTTGGGTAAAGTAAAGACATGGTTTGGAAGATTTGTTGGCACATTTTCAATGATAGCATTTTGTTGTTTTATTTTTTATTGAAAAGGTTACAAAGTGTAACTTTAATTTCAGAGGAAGGTCATTTGGTGAATGCAGGGAACGTGACATCTTTATTTCAAATAGAGTAGATGCATTCGAATAATTGTTCAGAAAAAAAGTTAGCATGGACATTGCTTATACAAAAACTGCTTGATTTCTGCTTTATTACTGATTACCAATGTTTGCAATTATATATTATTATTTGTCTTTCAGCTGATGTGAGCATTTTCAAGCCCTCCTCATTCTACATTGTCATTCAGGCCCATTTGATTGGGCTTCGCCTAGAGATCCAGCTTGTACCATTAATGCAACTTTACATCACAGTCAATTCAGTGTACCAAGGAGAAACATGCGGTATTTATTTTTTTACAGACCTCTTATCTTTAACCCTCTCATGCAATACTCTGAATAAAAGCAGCATCGATTTATTAAATATGCATGTTTATTCATTGTATATCTAAGGCTTTCTGTGGGATTTCCTTCATGTTATCACATTTAATTCTGTCCTCGACTGCTTTTGTTAATAACAAATCCATTTACAGGTCTTTGTGGCAATTTCAACAACATTGAGGCTGATGACTTCACAACCATTGGTGGACTCAGGGAAGCAACCGCTTTAGATTTTGCAAACACCTGGAAAACAAGAGCAAGTTGTCCTGATGTCAAAAGAAACTTTGAGAATCCTTGCAGTCTTAGCACTGAAAATGGTATGAATTTGTCATTTGATTTCCACAATACCGCAACACTTTGCCTTTATAACTCTGGAATGTCATTAAAGACTAATTATTTAAATTATACCCCCCCACAGAGAAATATGCACAGCACTGGTGTTCCCTGCTATCAGATCCCTCATCAGTGTTTGCCCCCTGCCACTATGAAATCAGCCCTGAAGTCTACAAAGCAGTAAGTGAAATTACGTTACTTCTCTTGAATTGTTTTCTCTAGAGTTTTCTCTAACTTTTACATCCTTTCTAGAATTGCATATATGACAGCTGCAACTGTGAGAAAAGTGAAGACTGCATGTGCGCTGCATTGTCTTCATACGTTCACGCATGTGCTGCAAGAGGGATTGCTCTTGATGGCTGGAGAGATGTTGCCTGCAGTGAGTTGCTTTCTTCTCTGGAAGGCTTGAGAATATTTGATAGCTGTCAACAGCTCGACAAGCTCTTTTTGTGTTTCAAGTATGTGAGAGCTCTCGGTCTCTTTCTTCTCAGAAACCTACACGCTAACCTGCCCCAGCACCACGGTCTACTCTTATCAAATGACCAGCTGTGACCGCACTTGCCGATCCCTCAGCCAATCAGACAACACCTGCGCTATTGACTTGGTGCCAGTAGATGGCTGTGGCTGCGCACAAGGAACGTACATGAACGAGAATGGTGACTGTGTTGCACCTGCCAGCTGCTCATGTTATGATTCAGGCAAAATTATTCCTGCTGGAGATATAATCTCAAAAGATGGAGGATCATGGTATGTACATGGAGTTGGTTAAATTGCTGTTGAGAAAATTGTTGCAGGCAGGGTTTTTGATGTCAGGGACCCCCAAATATGGCAACCCTGAGGCACCTCCTTATGAAATATAAAACTGGCGACTTTTATATATATTTAAAAAAAACAAACAAAAAAACAGTTATATTAGGTTAACTGTGAGAGAAATGGACAAATATTGAATATATATGAATATTTTCATTGCACTCATGCTAATCATTTTTTTTTGTATTAAGTTCAAAGTGTGCTAGATTTTCTCAAGTCTTCCTTTTCTCTTGAATATTATAGTAATACTCAATCCAGGGGACGCAGAGGGTCCATGCACTTCAGTTTGAAAAACCCTGTTGTAGACTATTGCCCAAAATGTGATTTAATAATATTTAACCTAATATTTCCATTTCAGTATTTGCGAGCAAGGGAAATTGAGCTGTGCTGGAGTATCAAAAGGGGAAGGTGTGTGAAGCTATATTTAAATTGTACATTTAAAACCAAATGTTTCTGGCTTACACTTTATGAGATATTATCAGTGATTGTGTTTGAGATCAGCTACACGCATACCCTTAAGTGAGAACAGTCTTTTTGTCCATTTTATACTTTTAGAGTGCCAAGATCCAATGACGTTTTTCAACTGCTCCAGCGCTAGCCCTGGATCCACGGGATCGGAGTGTCAGAAGAGCTGCAACACATTAGACATGGCCTGCGTGAGTTGCTATAATTCCTATAATGGAGTAGGTTATTCTAATGTTATTCTAAACCAGTATGCTACTTTTTCTGTGTGACACAAAACAAGAAATTTCTTTGAGTAGTCTTAAGCCTTTAAGTACAACAACAATAAAACTGCAATATGGGTGATAAAACACCATAAATACGCAATAAAAGTATTGCCAGCCTAGTTGTAATGTGTGGAATGGCGATTTTGGTAGTATTAAAAAAAATACTACCAAAAAAAACTTTCAAGTTTTTGGACTACCATGTATGGTAAAGAGCAGCGTGAAGATACTTTATAAACTCCCCCTTTGTGTTGCACTGAGCAAATAACAGCATATGGCTTTAGAATGGCATTGGAGTAAATAAATGCTAAATTGTAATATTTGGGTAAACTATTCCTTTCAGCAGTTACAAGTAATAATTTGTAGAAATATTGCATATGCAATGACTTTTATGTTGAATGACTGCAGATCAGCACAGAGTGTGTGTCTGGCTGTGTGTGCCCCTCTGGACTGCTGTCTGATGGGAAAGGTGGCTGTATCGCTGAAAACCTGTGCCCTTGCTTCCATAACGGAGTTGCCTACCAACCTGGAGAAAGCATCAAGACTGACTGTAATACATGGTATGTTCAGCAGTTCAAGATTTGTAATTATTTTTATGTTCTATATACAATTTTTCATAATGACCTTGCATTCCTTTTTATAGTACTTGTAAGGATAGACGATGGATCTGTACCACAAACCAGTGCAGTGGGACATGCAGCATCTATGGAGACGGCCATTATAAAACGTTTGATGAGAAAAGATACGTCTTCAGTGGAAACTGTGAATACAGCCTTGTTCAGCTATTAACCTTGCACTTCCTTCCGAAGCCTGAAGATCTTTATACTGTAACTTTATCATCTAAATCAAAATTTTATGCCACGACCAGGACTTTTGTAACAACACCACCGGCACTTTTAGAGTCATTACTGAAAACATTCCCTGTGGATCCACTGGCACCACTTGTTCCAAGGCTATCAAGCTGTTTCTTGGTGTAAGTTAACTTCTCGCATTCATAGCAGTCATATCAAACCTTAAATTAGTGAGGATTAAACATTGCAATTATGCCATTATATTTCAGAGCAATGAGCTTAGACTGACAGATGGATCCTACCAAGTTGTTCATAGAGATTCAGGAGAGGAGATTCCCTACCAGATGCGCACCATGGGACTATACTTGATGATTGAGGCCAATAATGGTCTGATGCTCATATGGGACAGAAAAACAACTATACACATCAAACTGAGTCCAGAGTTTAATGTGAGTAAAGTGGTTGGTTCATCAACTCCACCCTTGTCAACTCAATTTATTAATTGCAAATTTCAGATTTATTTTATATATTAAGAGTTTTCCATTTATTTCGATAGGGCCACGTTTGTGGTCTGTGCGGAAACTATGATGGAAACGCGAACGATGACTTCACTACGCGCAGTCAAGCAATTGCTGTCGAAACCCTGGATTTTGTAAACAGCTGGAAGCTCTCTAATTGTCCAGATGCAACCCTCATCCAAGATCCATGTGTCCATAATCCTTACAGGGAGGCGTGGGCACAGAGGCAGTGCAGCATCATTACTAGCAGTGTCTTCTCAACCTGTCATTCACAGGTACTTACAACAAACTGCTCTTTAGGGAGCTTGAATAGCCATATAAGTATATTTTGTGTAAAACATCAAATGCATTTTTGGTAACTGCAACATTGTTATGAATATTGCTTTAAAGGTGGACCCCTCTCCTTTCTATGATGCTTGTGTGAGAGATGCATGTGCCTGTGATAGTGGTGGAGATTATGAGTGTTTTTGCACAGCTGTAACAGCCTATGCACAAGCCTGTAATGAGGCTGGAGCCTGCGTTGCTTGGAGATCACCTAAAATATGCCGTAAGTCACTGATAGTTATATGACTGTCATCAGATGTGTTGTGGAGGAATGACTAAAAACTGTAAACCTCAAAAACCAAGAAACAGTTTTGTTTTGTCATTGCAGCATTGTTTTGTGATTATTACAACCCCCCTGGTGAATGTGAGTGGCATTACAAACCTTGTGGAGCACCTTGTATGCAGACATGTAGAAACCCCTCTGGAAACTGCTCTAGTCAGATACCAGCACTTGAAGGTGAGAACTCATAATTAAATCCAGTTATATCATCTGCATGATAGTGAGAAAACTAATAATACTTGTGACAAAAATTATTACAATGCTAATTTTATTGGTTATCAGTAATGTAGACCACATATCAGATAACAAGAAGAGGAGATTTTGCTTCAGGCTTTTTAACATTTTAGCTTCAAAGTGATTCAAATGGATTTTTTTGTCAATTATTCATGGAAATGTATATTGTTCATAATATCACTCAAACTTGTATCACCTTGGCTTTGAATCATGAAAAAGACATATAATAGGCTCCATTCACTAAACTGGACAAGTATATGGAACAATGTCTTCAAAAGATTTGTCACAACAATTAATTCACTAAAACCTATTGAACTTAATTTGAACTTCACACATCCTCATGAAGGTGGATTTCTGTTATTTTTATTTTTATTTTTTTTATCTGATTTATATATTTTTCCCTTTGAACCTTTTTAGGTTGCTATCCTAAATGCCCTCCCGAGCAGCCTATTTTTGATGAGGATAACATGAAGTGTGTGACACAGGAAGATTGTGGCTGTTTTGTTGAAATGTTACATTATCAGGTTGGCCAGCAGGTGCCAACCACAGAAAACTGTCAGTTGTGGTATGTCTATACATTTTCTACCCATATTCATGTTTCATATAAGTCACTAACCGTTTTGAAATGTTTTTAAGCCAACCTATTTGTGTTTTTCCCTGATACAGTTATTGTTCATCATTTGGTGTTATCTGTGACTTTGATGTAAATGGTAAGATATTTAGCATTTCAGTAATAGATTATTTTGAATATTGTACAAGCAGAATCTACTTTCATCATATAGTCTTTCATTATACTTTATAACTTTTCTATATACATTGTCTCTGTTTACAGCATGTACATGCCAATACAACAATATGGAGTACAACTTTGGAGATATCATTTATCACACAACGGATGGGCTGGGAGGTTGTATCACAGGCAGATGTTCAGTCAATGGAACTATTGAGAGGACTTTGATACCTTGTGAAATAACTACTGTCCCAACAACCACATCCACCGTGACCACAACACAGACATTAACAGCAAACCCGACAACAGTTTTTGTCTTCAGCACCCCAGGTACTTTTTAATTTCTGTGGTACACACTTATTCCTGATCTTATATATTGCTACAAAAGATTATTTAGGTCTCAAACAGTGCAAATAAAAGCTTATGCAATAGTTCTACTGGGAAGAATTGTAGTAAGCTTGTAATGAACATTAGATATTTTCATTCATTTAAAATTAGATCACAACTTCTCTGAACAATGTAGTTGATTTATTATTATTATTATTATTTAAACACTGAACATATTTTAAACACCAAATTATTAATTTATTTGCTTTTTGAATATGTTTATTTTTGTAACTCTTTACATTTTATTTTGTACTTAACTTGCCCACAGAATACACTTCACCTGAAATTGAAAAAGAAACAACCACAGCTCACAAAGTTTTATCCACATCCAGCAAGCCAGAACAACTGACAAGTGGACATTTAAGTCAACCAACAACTGAAGTTATTCTAACTGCTTCTACTACAGAAATTAAATATTCAACTGAAAAACTGATATCAGTAACATCAATGTCTTCAACATCATCAGTTGAAACATCAACACTGTCCTTATCCACGACAGGACACAAAACAACAGAAGCTGACATTTCTACAGAGGCACAAAGTACAAGCAGGTTAACAACAACATCAGAAACCTCAGTCGCACCGATTACAAAAACCCTTGCAACGATCACTGGTAAAGCGTGGACAACACTTCAGAATACTGGTGAACAAACCACTGAGTTTGAATTTACAACATCTCAAATACCTTTGTCCACCTCGACAAAGCCATTGAAGGTGGAGACGACCGGTCTAACAAACAAACCAACAACTACAGCCACAACTACTTTTGAAGAGGTAACAGGCACATCATCTGAAACATCAACATCTACAAGCACAGCCCTACCAGTGACACAAACATTCACACAGCCAACAACACTAACAAAGACAACTGCTGTGCCATTCACTACCCTTGTATATACAACAGTGAGTGTAGAATCTTCGACTGGGTCTGAGGTTACCCCTCAAGGTCTTTTTCCATCAACAAATCCAATCAAAGCTGAAACAACTCCTTCAACCACCACACCAGCCATCCCATCCACTACTCAAACAACTGGACAACTAACAACAACTGAGATTGTAACTGAGAATGAATTTACCACAGCTCAGACGCCTTTGTCCACCACCACCAGGCCACCAAAAGTGGTGACAACTGGTCTAACAAGCCAACCAACGACTACAGAAACAACCACTTTAGAAGAGGTAACAGGCACATCATCTGTAACATCAACACCTACAAGCACAGCCCTGCCAGTCACACAAACTTCATTACCAGTCGTTAAATCCACACAACCAACAACATTAACAACGACAACTGCTGTACCAGTCACTACCCTTGTGTACACAACAGTGGGTGTAGTATCTTCCACGGGCTCTGAGCTTACCACTCAAGGTCTTTCCTCATCAACAAATCCAATCAAAGCTGAAACAACTCCTTCAACCACCACACCAGCCATCCCATCCACTACTGTCATTGTCGAGGAAGAAAGCACCACTGCCCAACCATCTACAGAATCATCAGCTCCAAGCGTAGTCTCCACAACTTCAAAATCATCTACAGCTACTCAAACAACTGGACAACTAACAACAACTGAGATTGTAACTGAGAATGAATTTACCACAGCTCAGATTCCTTTGTCCACCACCACCAGGCCACCAAAAGTGGTGACAACTGGTCTAACAAGCCAACCAACGACTACAGAAACAACCACTTTAGAAGAGGTAACAGGCACATCATCTGTAACATCAACATCTACAAGCACAGCCCTGCCAGTCACACAAACTTCATTACCAGTCGTTAAATCCACACAACCAACAACATTAACAACGACAACTGCTGTACCAGTCACTACCCTTGTGTACACAACAGTGAGTGAAGAATCTTCCACTGGGTCTGAGGTTACCACTCTAGGTATTTCTTCAACAACAAAAGCAATCAAAGCTGAAACAACTCCTTTAACCACCACACCAGCCATCCCACTACTCACACAACTGGACAACTAACAACAACTGAGACTGTAACTGAGAATGAATTGACCACAGCTCAGACGCCTTTGTCCACCACCACCAGGCCACCAAAGGTGGTGACGACTGGTCTAACAAGCCAACCAACAACTACAACAACAACAACTTTAGAAGTGGAAACAACTTTTGAAACAACTAAAACAGTATATATTCCAACCATTTCACCAATTTCCACTCAAAATGTTTTCTACTCATCCACATCCATGGAGACATCAATTGCCCCCATTACACAAACATTACCATCTTTTACTAACTCCATTCCAGTGACTACAAAATCCTCTTTATTCTCAACCACTTCAGTTGTCTGTTGCTTTGTGAATGGCACACATTTTCAGTCAGGTACCAAATTCACATTTAATTTTTATTTAATTGTTTATTATTTAAAAATCATGAGAAAAGCTGAAATTTTGTAACTCTGTAACTGTTTTTTTCTTCTTCAGGTGATATAATTTACAATGTTACTGATGGCTTTGGTTGGTGCTTCACTGCATACTGTAATGCAACTTGTCATATTGTGAAGATTTCAACATCTTGTGAAACCTCTCCATCACCATCCATTCCTCCTGCAACAAGCACATATTCCAGTTCATCAACAACCACAAGTTCCCCAGAAACAACACAGCCTGCCACAACTAATACAGGCACAGAAGTAACAGCTACAATCTTTGGGCCTAAGTGTGATGCACTTGATCCACCAAGACAGGTACATCTTCAAATAATACAGTCTTTTGTCTCATAGCTTACGGAATCAGTAGGGCCATGGCCTTCCTTTTTTGCATATGATAAAAAGTTAGTGGGAACAAAAGAATATCAAACTAAATGTTACATGTTTGCATCTGGCGGATGTTTTATTTAAAGCAACTTTCATTTCACTCAGTTTAAGGGTGTTAATATTTATTCTGACAATGATTCGATTCACCATCTGATCATGGTGTATGGTAAAAACTGATAATGGGTCATGATTTTATCAGATTTTGCTTATTTTGGATTCTTAATTATTTCTAAAAAAGACTAATGTAACCATAGTGACAATTTGGTCACTAGTAATATATAGAGAAATTTAGGTTATACATTCTCAGTCTCAAAAACTGAATTTTGGATAATTTGTACATTTAATAATAACATGTTAGTAAACTAACAGAAACAGATGTTAAGCAGACTCTTGAATATGCATAGTAGATTTGCATATCATGGAAAAATGATTGAACAGCTAATTAAGATTTGAATGGAGTCTCATGCATTAGGGAATAACAAATCTTTATATCAAGCAGGGTAATTGTAATAACAATGTGTCAATTGCAGAATTTAGTGAACAGAATTCAATGAACCATTTCAGGTTCCCATCTATGAAAACATGATGTACTGTAACTGACAAGTTTTTTTTTTTTTTTTTAAGCCCAATGATACTTGGCAGAGTGGATGTCAAATGTGTGAGTGTGAGAGTGAAACACTGACGGTCCGTTGCCAGCCTGTAACTTGTCCTGTTTCACCACCTGTTACTTGCGATCAGCCTGGACAAGTGCTTGTTAACACAACAATTGACTGCTGTGAGATCCATGAGTGCAGTAAGTGATCTGAAAAGAAGAGAACGTTGAGACAGTTTAAACGAGATGACAGTTTAATATACAATTCATTTGATATATTTACTAGTTTTTAGTTATTCAGTCATATTTATTAGTGGTTTTCAACTGATGGCTTTCAAAAAGTAGGTACTAAGGAAATTATGAGTCTTGATTTTACCCTTGTACCGTTTAAACAGCAGAAAGTTAGGCAGCACATTCGTGGTCTAAAAATTGATTGTAGAAATGCCTGTACATTTACAATGACATGCTGAACAAAAATGTGTAATATTATTCTACAGGTTGTGATGTGAACCTGTGCCCTATTCTGACAATACAATGTCCACTGGGCTTTATGCCATCCTTCAGCGTGTCTCCAGATAACTGCTGTCCAGAGTATATTTGCTGTATGTATATGGACCAGTTGTTCTCAGTAAAGATACTTTATTGTTTTGATGCTTTGCAGTGCACAGGTGTGCACTCATTCATTCCTTATTCTTTACAGCACCCATGGAAGTCTGTGTCCATAATACCACAGTATATCAGGTAAAATTATATAATGTAATACATGTATATATATAACTTACAAGATATCAAAACTATACTTATTCCTCTCACTATCTTCCGTTCTAGCCTGGCTCAACTATACCAAGTGATGACCCTTGTACACTTTGTCAGTGTGGTTGGAACGTAGATCCTGAAACAAATCTTCTTGCTCCAGAGTGTGTGATAGCTGACTGCAACGATAACTGTCCAGAGGTATAAACATCTGTTTGCGTCTGTAATAAAGACTAGCCCATATGGGTAAAAACTGGGCTTCAGAAAAAGCCACATCAAATCCTGTGAATAATGAGCAAAGACAGCTTTAAAAGTAGTCGGTGTACAGTTATGTATCAACTACCAGGCAATGTGATGTATTTCTCCTTCTTTTTTTCCTTCAGGGTCACGAGTACCAACTCATTCCTGGTCAGTGCTGTGGAGAGTGTGTTAGCACCGATTGTGTGGTTATGCATGACAACATCACAGTTACCGTTTCAGTAAGTTCTGACGTGACATTATCAATTGCATTGTTTGATTTTGTAACATCAAATTAATGACATTTTTATTGTTTGCATCAAGTATTCATTGTATACATTCTCCACTAACAGGTTGACCAGATATGGCAACCATCTAATGACAAATGTGTGAAATACAAGTGTGAGAGTGTCAACGGTAACTCGGTTACAGTTGAGATTAAGACCACTTGCCCTGCCTTCAATCCTGAAAATTGTATCCCTGTAAGTGGCTTGAAAGAGACATTACTTTGGACAACTTAATGTGTTAAATTTAAGTCAATGGTTAATGCTTTTTCTTTTTCTACAGGGAACAGAGACAATAGATGCAGATGGCTGCTGTCAAACCTGTGAGTCTGGAAAATTAAAAAAAAAAGTTTTTTAATTATTTGTATTAATTTTTTATTTTATAAAAAATTATTCAACAATTGCAAAATATGCTCATGATTTGTATTTTTGTGAAAATGACGGGTAATGCCACTCAGATTTTTCCGATGCCACTATCTGAACACCATTTCTTGAAGCAAAATTGCTTTTAAAAAAGAAAATATTACTGAACAGTGCTGGGTAGATTACTTGCAAATTGTAGTCCGTTACTGATTCCAAATTACATTTAAAAATACATTACATTACACTTTTCAGGTAATTTAATCAGACTACTTTTAGATGACTTTTGATGATTTCCTGATTTAAATAGGATAATCATGTACCACATTGATAAAAATAAAAAAAAATACAGAAAGAAAATATATTCTATTTGTTGTTACTAACACCATGAAGTGTATTAAACATATTACGTCAAAGTTTCCCAAACTGGGGTTTGGGAAGGAACTGCAGGGGGTTTGTGAGTTTAATGAAAAGCTAATAATAAATTATTGTATTTCTAAACTTACAATCAAAAAGAAAAGAAAAGAAAAGAAATATTATACCTGTTTACCTGCATGTCATGCATGTGACTATGTGAATAGCATGTAATCATTCAATCAATAAAAAAGTAACTGTAGTCTGATTATGAACATTTTAAAATGTAATATAATCTAATAACAAGTACTTAATTTCTGGAACCTGATTATGTAATCCAGATTACATGTAATCAGTTACTACCCAGCACTGCTACTGAACTTGACAAAAAAAAAATATATATATATATATGACCCT